GTGAGGGGTATACCCACTAAAACCCCCGCGGAAGCCTACATCGACGGTACTAGTGAGAGGGGCCCTGGGATCGCCTTATCAGCACTCACTCAGGGCCCTCCCTCAACCCGCCACAGGCGACATGGAGCCGCCCTCATCGCAATGGAGCTACTGCTCCTCTGCACGGCGAGAGAGAGGGCTTCGCTCCCTCCCGCCGTGCCTGCTGGACCACGTGCAATGAGGGATTCTGGCCCCCGCCAGAACCCCTCGTGTGGCCCTGCGTCAAACTCCCCTGTTAGGGGGAGGACGCTTTGTCCACAGTTTTGCGGTGGCGCGCCACCGCACCTTTATGTTATTGGAGGACTCCTCCATCTCTGCGGGGAACGCCCGCAGCGCAACAGACGGAGGAGCCTCTTCGCTTCCAGGAGGGGGCACCTCCCTCCCCTCCTAGCCCCGCACCAACATGCTTCACAGCATGTCCTCACTCCTCATAAACTCCTCCAGCTCCGCTCCCCAGTTGCGACCGGAGATGCGGGGACCAAGGGAGGAGTTTGATGAGGAGGAGAGGGCTTCTCGAGGGCTCACAGAACCCTCCGCAGCACCGTCCTGCTGGTGGCCGCTGCCCTTNCTCAAGCGCATGCGCTGGGCAACACGCTTGGGCAGCGGTCTCTCTTCNGCCGCCGAAGGCGACGAGGCGGTAGTTGTGCCGCCCTGTTTCTTCCTCTTCCTTTTGGAAGAGGCTACAGAGCGGCCCTCCCCAGTAAGGGGAGCCACTACCTCCTTGGAGGTAAGTGGCTCCACTTCTATGCGGGCCGAGTCCTCCAGGGGGCGATCCCTAGAGGGCGAGTCCCGCGCCTCCGAAGAGGCCTCTTCTTCTACCCGAGGGGGGAGATCCGACGGTTTCCCCCCAGCTACTCTGCCGGATGGGAGGGAGCAGCCTCGACCGCCCATCCGGTGATTAGCCGTTCGCCCCTCAGCCTTGCACGCCGGGCAAGACAGAGGGGCCCGGCAATCCACAGCCTTGTGGGACGGCTCTCCACACCTGAAGCACAGGTTGGAGCGAACCGTCCCACTACCACACCTGCTGCCGATGTGGCCGAAGGCCAAACATCGGTAGCACTGGGTGGGGCGAGC